ATACATACGAGATATGCAAGATCTTTTTTCCAGTTCTACGGAGAGCAGGAATTTGTTCAGAAATCGGTTTCGGAAAAAAACCGTTATCGATGTATTTAGCTGTACCTTTAGCTTTAAGTAGAATTGGAAGTGCATCTAGAAGAGGTTTACCTATTCCTGCTCATTTGCAGCTTCAGATAGCATTAAGGTGAAATAATATGCTACTGGCAGTTTCCATGTAGGTCAAGTGATAAGTGCTTAATAGAATTACGCTTACACGAAAACAACTCTCATTATGTAATATGCTATTATATTATGATGAATGATTACAGAACTGTGCGCCTTCTGTCTAGCTGAATATACGGTTCTCCTCTGGCGCTCCATTTGTTTACTCCTGTTCAAAATTACTGTTTACACTTCAACGGCCTCTTCAAAATTCGATTTATCCGTCAAACTTGTCTTTATTTATGATAAATGCCAATGATACCAACCGGACGATCATAAGAAACCTATGATCCGTCACTTAACGGCCACTTTTCCAAGTCACTCTCGAGTTGGAACTATAAAATGGCTTCTATCTCAAGTGTCAAAAGTCACTCAAGTCGTTTTCGATAAGTGTCTCTCAAGTGCCACTTGGCACTTGGACTATAAATACGGCCATCAACTCCAAGTCGCCCTTACACGTCAGCTGATCTCGAAGTGACGACTATAAAACGCATTTCATGACATCATTATGACAGTCACTTGAGTGTTCAGTGTCACTTGAGAGGCGTCTATAAATACGGCCATAAGTCGGACTTAAATTTTAAGGTATACTTAGGTAAGGACGTGCTTAGAAGAATTTTGGTGCAAGTGGGCATGAGTGGCGTTCTTGAATTCGGCCCTTAGTTTTCATTAGATTAATCTGTGAAAAAATCCGTTCAACATTGGCTGATGAGTGAGGTAGTAATAAGCAGGTTACAAATAAAATTGGTTAAAATTGGAAACATGAATGTATCATCTCTCATCACTCTTCAATATTTCCAGAAAATTTTCATTTCTTCAACATTTCGCAACAGACGTCAATCTGTGTCCAGACCTTGTAATTCACTATCATGACTGAGAAGCGCTGCAGAGTGACCCGTGTGAAAAGCCTCTAAAGAAATTGGATGTCTTGTTATACGGATGGAATTTGTGTATTTTTTTTTTAACTTTTATCACGGTGCTTTGGAAAGTGCTGAATTCCGCTACAATCTCGCTGGTTGAAATCTGTGAATTCTAGCTTACGATGGCCAAGATATTAACCTCCACAACTTTATTTATTATTATTATATTTTTTTCTTTTCTGGGTTTCAGTCAAAATGTAAAATAAAAATGTTCATATAGTTTATTTCATATTTTTACGTTTCGCTGAGACGACAGCGCCATCATCAGATTTAAAATTTAAAACAAACCCATACACATTTTTATTTAGGAAAGAAAAAATATAATAACAGAAAGCAAATGTGAGGTTTGGAAGACATCCAATCCTAAAAAGAATCTAGTGTTTCCCAATTATGGGTTTGTTTTAAATTTTAAATCTGATGATGGCGCTGTTATATTATATTAAATATTATATCTCAGTTAAAAATGTACCGTGGCGGTGATATGTCGTCGATAAATTAGAACTTTTCCTAATCTAAACCGAAAATACCGAAAGTCAACGAGCACTTCCTAAGGTTGCTTTTCTTAAAATGATTTAAAGAATGGCTCCTTAAAATGCATATCAGGAATATTGTTAAGAAAAAAATCATATGATGCATTTTTAGCACCTAGCTAAGACAAATAGATAATAGTAGGTATTTACTTAATTACTGGTTAATTTTTCAATTTTGGAGCAGGCTGTGCTACAATCTAGAATAATTTTATGATTTCATGGGTTTGTGTGGCCCTGACTATGTAATTGCGTTACAGAATTATAATGGGTTTTTTAATAGATCTAATAACTAATTTATTTCTGGTGAATTGCAATTTAATTGTGCACTTAAATTAACAAAAATATTCTACGTTCTGAAATGTCCTGCTGATAATTTATCCATATTTTGCAATTCTTACACTTACCCATTTTCACACTGTTCTCGGTGAATTTGTTTTCCAAAACAACAAAAAACTAGAAATGTTCTACCACTATTATGATCATAAATAACATAACCACAAACGTTACGAATGTCCCTATCTAGCTGATCTCACAAACACAATATCCGCGACAATGTCCTATTATGTGTTTAACAAAATGTTTGGCTTCGATTTAACAGCAAAAAATACTATACTTTTACAACTATTTACGACTACTCCCATTAATCTCACTATAACCTTTCAACAGTCGAAATCAGCTGTAGGGGACCGGAATGAAGGTAGTTGCTTAATTTGAATGTAGTTCACTACATTTACACCTTAAACACTGTGAAAGTATAGACGCAATTTAAATTTTAATAAGCTCGCATACAAGTCCGGTGCTACAAAATTTACAAAAAAACGTCTATTGCGTATAGCAAAATAATAAATGTATCACATATGCAGTTCGAGAATCGATCCAGTTTAATCCGAAATAGTCGCAGTATATCTGAGTAAACTAAGCTCATATTTTTATCAGATGTGATAACCTTTCTTGACTTTAGAAATTTAAAAATAGGTTCCTCTCAGAAACAAAATACAAAATCAGCTGAATTATGGCTAACACCTTAAAATTTTATTCAAAAATCCCTCAAAGCGTCAGGTATGATATTGTTATTAAATTTGCACTTAAATGGCATAGACTAACGAATCGTGTTTGTATATGTAGTGATAAGTAATAATTTAACTAACTTTATTCAGGAACATATCTACGTCAGGACCTAAAAGTGATGCTTGGCTTTCAAAAATATTCGTTAGAAAGATCGAGCCGACAAAAGAAAGTCACAGTCGAATGCTTAGTGATAAGGAAGTTATATATGCCTTGCAAACTCACAATTACCGAGCAGATTCTAAAAAACCATATTTAAACAACGTGTAAGTATCTACCAATTATTTAAGGAATTATTAATTGGTATAGATTGATAAGATGATGATAGACACAATACGGATGATACGATTCTGAAGATAATCGGAATCCAATGTACGACTCTTCACTACGAAATAGGCCTCAAGTAGACCGAACAACAATTAACAATAAAAACATTATTAAAAGCTGCAGCAGTTTTCTGTTATGATTATTATTGCGGTTTAGATGTTTTATGGTCGGTTCCTAGCAAACTTCTAAAAGTACTGGTTCTTGTTCTACTTGTTCGAGATCTAGCTGATCTGTTGATTCCGGACTTGCCTCTGTAAAATTTCCTGAGATGTGGACTGCCAGCTGTTTCTCCATCTCTTTGGTAGTCTTCCGGGTGAACGGGTCCCTGCTGGTTTTCCCTCTAGTACAATCCCAAACAGCCCAAAGACATCTTAAATACGTCTTTAAAATGTCTAATTCAGATATGTGAGACGTCTTAAAGACGTCTGTAACAACAAATGAAGACGTCTTGAAGAGATGTTTTAAAGACGTCTTGAACAGATGTCTTAAAGACGTCTTGAAGAGGCGTCTTAAAGGGATGTCTTCTTGAAAGGCGTTTTCAAGGGTGTTAGGAATATTCTATGGGAAATTCCCTATTGGGAATGTAAAATAAAATAACATGTTTCTATTTCGTTATTTTTTTGTATTTGGCCTATCAAATTCACAGATCAATTCACATCACAGGCTATTTTGTTAGCAGATAATTTCGTTGAAGGTTTACCACAACACCAGAATAACAAGAGTTTTTTAGTAACACCTAAGCAATCCAAGTGCATATAGTCTAACGGAAAAGATTTGATCATGTCAAGTTTGGGTAGTTTTTTCTAAAATCGGCTCCCCAGTATGATAGCTGTCATCAGTTTTTTTTTGGAAGTCACAGTCTGTCATTATACGTAGGTTATGTATGTCAGGAAAATACACTCTGTCAGAGTAATTTCCTTCAACATTACATTTTGAACAGGAAGAATAGTCGGAATGACCTTTAATATATTTTACATATGATTTTGCAGGAGCTTCACAAATAATTGCTTTAATATATACATACTGCAAAATGTTGATTTTGATACAAGAAACCTTTATTGATAACTTCAGTTGACCTGACTAGATGAACTTTTAGCAAGTGACAATCCGTCAATATTTATAAGAAGACCTACTGAATTATTCAAGGTGTTAATTGATTTTTGGCCTAAACTGTTAAAAATACTGTTGAGGCACTTATTTAGCCCAAAATGATAATAGAGTTCTTGCCTCCAAAAGCAACTCTTAACAAATAGATTGTACTAGTTTTAATAAGTAATTTAAAGCAGTATGGGCTATGTTGTGCTTCATTGCCCATTCTGCCAATTTTATTTGAAATGAGTTATTACTACTACTTACTACTGGTAAAACTATCATAAGTGATAACCTTCAAATTCATTGTCGTCTGCTATGGAATTAGTATCCGAATGATGGCATAAAAACTCACTATTGTCCTTGACCTTAGGATTTAGTGACATTAGTGATTGGTTCACTTGTTGCACTTGCAACGTTGAGTTGTTTGCGCTGCACCCAGGGTGTGAAATGATGTCACCACTTACTGAACTCTCAAGGGAATTGTAAAGTTTCTGTATTTCGGTGGCACTTTTGGCCCTCATATATATATATATATATATGTAATGTTTGTTTAGCTTACCACTTGAACATATTTGCTTCATGTTCGGTTCTGTATAAACCGTAAATTTACAAATTTTAAAAAAACTAACCGCAATAGGCGATTTAATAAACGAAATTAAATGTTTTCACTGCAATCGGATGCACTCGAGCAAGTTCGTCAAAACGTCTTGTAGTAGACATTTAAAAGACATCCTTTGCCAGGCATTTACAAGACGTCTTGTAGTAGACATCTTTAAGATGTCTTAAAGACATCTTCAAGAGACATAATAAGGGCATAAAGAAGACGTCTTGTGCTGTCAGGGATGCGTGGTTTCTATCGTCGGTCATTCGCTTCACGTGATTATACCATTCTCTTCTCTGCTGTCCCCATCTGACCACATCCTGTACGTCGCATTGTACTCTAATGTCAGTGTTTCTAACGTTGTCTCTTCTTGTTTTCCTCGCTATTGTTCTCAGTACTGACATTTCGGCGATTTATAGCATCCTTTTGGTCTTGTCTCGCACTTCTATACCATATGTCATGTATCGACCTGACGCATGTCTTATGTATTTTGATCTTACTCTCTCTTATATATTTTGATCATTTGCATATAAGGCTTAGCCGATACAATTTCCGTTAGACATCCTGATATTATGGCTGATTTATTAATTTGGTTTATCAGGTCCTTTACCGGGTCGTTGGCGCTGGACATATCTATGCCCAGGTATCTAAATTGCATGACTGCTCTATGGGTTAATAGTATATTACGGTACGAGAGACGAAAGTCGAAGTTTCGTACTGTACATACCTAGTTCCGTATGTGTATTATTTTTCTTGATCCTCGGTGGAAACTAGCCGGGAAAAGTATAAGTTGTTAAAACAAGGCATTGAAAATTATGTCAAAACGGTCAGTTACGAAGTCAGGCTGTCAGCGAAAGTTAGAAACGATGGAGAAAATTTGTAATGGCTGAAAGTGATGCTTTCGCCATCGAAAACAGTGGCGAAAGTACGTACTTTTCACCAGGGGATCAAGAAATTATCTATTACCAGCTTGCATCTCATTGGTTGGTTTGGTCGTCTTGTTCCATTCCGAGGCGTTTGATTGGTTTTTTAAACATTTTTAACCGTCTGATGACCCAACCTGGAGGACCAAGTAATTTTAGATCGGGGTTTTCTTCTCCTAGCCTTTGACGATTCCAACGTCGTAACTACAAGGCAGCAGCTTCATCATCCTATGATCTTAGTCTATGATAGCCCTTAAAGGGCACTATCACCAGTTGAACCCTAGTTTTTTACCGAGATTTTTACTCCTACCCCTCCTTCTTTCCCGTTACTGCAATTGCACCTCAAGTTTGGGACTGATATCGCGTAGATATTTTGTTTAAATACTAACAAGTTGACTATTAACAAAAACTTATGATTGTTTATTTTTATTACTAGCATTTAATATTTTACTGCTCGCAAACTTGACCTACTTCAGTCTGTGATTAATTGATTATGTGAACACAAATACACTGATGGACAAAATTAGCGCACCACCCTATACATTTTCGAATAAATTGAAGCCCGAACGTTGGGTGTTCATCACACCACTATTGGTCGATCTCTTCAGCGTATTAGAGAAACAGGTTGCCCTGCTAGGCAACCAGGGCAAGGCCGATCAAGGTCCACAAACCAAATGGACGATTGTTTTATGCGACTGCAAGCTTTAATAAATGGGTTTATTACCGGAAATGAGATAAAAATCGAATTCAAAATGCCCGAAATGTTGCAATTTCTTCCAAAACGGTAAGAAGGCTCAATGAATTCGGATTGAGTGCAAAACATCCCGCAAAAGGTCCTCTCTTAACCATGACCCACAAGCAAGCTAGGCTTGAGTTTGCTCGAGAACACGTGGATTGGGATTTGGATGACTGGAAGAAAGTCTTGTTTACTGATGAAGTTAGAGTGGGTTTAAAATCTTCGGATGAGCGAGTTTTATTTGGAGAAGACCAGGAGAAAGATACAGTCAGGCATGTATGGTTATCCAACTGACTCCGTGGTGGCTAAATAATGTTTTGGGGTGGCATTTCTTTGCAGGCCCGTACGGACCTCGTAGTGATCCGAGGACAATCATTAACTTCTCAGAAGTACATTCAGGCGATTTTAGAAAACCATATCGTACATTTTGCACTTCACAGGCGACAATTTCTTGTTTATGGATGGTAATAACAGACTGCACCGAGCTCTGATCGTGGGCGAATGAGGTTGGCATTTAACGTTTAGTGTGGCCAGCGCGTAGTCCTGACCTTAGCGTGATTGAACATGTATGAGATCAGCTTAAACGACAAATTCGACGACAAGATCCTAGTCTTGGAAACTTGGCTGAACTGGAAAACGCGGTTCTTCAAAAATGGCACAACATACAAGAGGCTTGAGGCACGTTATTCGAGCTAGAGGCAGCATTACACGCTATTGAATCGGTTAAAGACGGAAACTTTACTTGCCTTTCAAAACGTATTTTCCATAAATTTTTACCAAAACTCTGATAAACTAGTGATTCATGTTTTGTTTTAATTTTTCTTTCAAAAACATTTTAACATTAATATGAAAAACAGTAATTTGAATCTTGATAAAAGTATGTAGGGTTTATAATATTTTTTCCATGAAATTTATAGATGGTGCGCTAATTTTGTTTTTCAGTGTATAATATTGTCCAAAGGTCGGCCCTTAATGGTAAGATTGACTGTTGCGTCGGGGAGTACCTGAAAAACCACGAAAATGGCTGGAAGGTGACGACATTGGCGATAATGCCGGAGATAGATAGATAAAATTTATTAAACATTCACATTTCTGGTCGTTGCGGCATTAAATATCCCAGTAAATGGGGTGTCCGATATATTCATTTTTATTTTTAGTCCTAGAAGTAATAGTAGGTAATCCTTCACTTAAGGAAAAAACACGGCTAAAGAAAAGGTTTGAGAAAAATCAGGATTTCCTATTCAGTTCAAAGTTGATTTGACCGGAATAAGCAAGGAAAAATTTTAAGTTTGAATTTTAATTTAAATTTTAAAACCGAAAATTTTGAAGTTAATCAAATTCGTTCAATGAACGGCCTAAGGAAGTTGTGGCTTAAGGAATTACCGAATTTCGGGCCCACTTAAGGAAGGATATCTAAATCTTTAAGCGGCAAAGGATGGATGCAAAACGGGGATAAATTAATGCACAGTTCACCAAAGAATCACTAATTGTTCCCAAATAATCGCAAAATACCAAGTCGTTTAGTCAAATGAGGCTTACCCTTAAATTTTTCTATAGCCAATTGTATTTTTGTTTCAATACTTTTATTTTGTTGTTCAATGGTTTTCTTTTGTTTGTGATTAGAAGTTGAAATCAGCCGGGTTCTGTCCACCCAAAGTAAACCGAATCGCTCTCCAGAAACACAACCTGATCTTTCAGAATGTGATCTGGAGACAAAACGGGACTGACTCTCTCGACTTCTACAGTGCAGGCTTATTTATCCCAGCAAAAGGGGGATCTTCATCAATAGAAAAGTGGTCTAACCATTGTCGCCACTATGATGTAAGGTCCTGTAATAAAAACTAGTTCGTGCTCAAGATACTTATCTACTGATGAATTCTTATTTATCTCGGTTCGGTATCGGTTCTGTTAATTCCCCGAATTTGAAATCCTAAAAAGAATCCAGTGTTGGCACAAATTGAAGCACAGACAATGTTGCCTATATATGTTACAAAATATTTTGTTTTCAGCACGAAATAATCGCAAATTCAAAGTATGTTATTTCATCGATTTTCGTCACCTGTTGAGTCATCCAAATATTTGGATCTTTTCTCCGAAAATTCTTTTGTCAGATGTTAACAAAAGCAAAGAACATGACGCATGACTATACGACAGCAATACACATCACGTATCACTAAGTCCTCTGTTATCTCCCTATAGATTTATCGTATTATGAGTTTACTGCATCATAAATTGTGCTCGTGCGCTGTGTCGGCACAGCAAGCCGTGTCTGCATCACTACGTCAGCTCCTGAAAATTTACTAAAACCCATGCCCAATTTGTATCTTCAATAACAACAAAGGTAGCTATAGTGACCATTTAAGTTGGATCACCCTGTATAGCGCTTAGCAACTTAGAAGTAGTCTTGGTACATAGAAGTGTTGTAAAAATTGGGAATGTCCATACAATAGTGAATTTTATTATTTTATCAGTGTCAAAAACAATTACTCTTACAGAAATAACATTGTCCAATGGGTAGCCTCACAAGACAAATTAAAAGATTCCGCAAAATTGGTCGGAAGTTGGGTTGTCAATGTTGGAGACCAGGACCAAGCTTTGCATTTGTGGAAATTTACCGGAGGATTTAATCAAATCGATATTTTTAATGAACTCACTGATGTTAATGAGGTAAATAAGGTCTAGGCAAGCCTGAGCAACTCCAGCAATTCATCGAATTTATATTTTGCAGGATTACGAGAAACTGAGAGTCGAACAAGGAAAACTGGTCCGAGCAAGACACTTGCAGTACCTACTCGCATTTAGTTATTGGCCGCAAATCTTACTCAGAGAAACTAAAAACATTTACGAAATTCGAAGCTATGCGTTGAAGCCAGGTAATTTCAGAATCAGTTTTAATTTTAATCTAATTTGTATGTATACCTCTTGTTAGGTACCATGATCGAATGGGGTAACAACTGGGCTCGAGCGATAAACTTTCGCCAAAACAACGATGAAGCTTTTGCTGGGTTCTTTTCTCAAATTGGCAGACTGTACAATGTTCATCATATTTGGTGTAAGTCCGATTTTATGGAAAAATTAAGAACTGACTACTTTAGAAAACCGCAGGTTACGAGGACTTGAATAAGAGAAAAGAGACGAGAGAAAGCGCATGGAGATCTCCTGGATGGGATGAATGCGTCGCTTACACTGTGCCCTTGATTAGAGAAATGCATTGCAGAGTTATGGTCCCAACAGAGTTTTCTCCCACAAAGTAAACTTTTTGAAGCCTGGAGTTTACCAGTGCTATGAAATTGTTGAAAAAAAGATATAACACGGATTTACCTTTATTTCAACAGCAATTCTCACTAGTAGAATCAAGCAATGTTCTATTTTATTAGCATTGCAGTATACATATGGTTCGCCTGTAAAAAAATATTTTCAAGCTTTATTAATAACTTGCTAATGTTTTAACTATCATTAAATGTATATAAGTAAATATTTTTGAATACTTATTTTCTTAAGTACAAAGGATTTAGTAAATGGTATCAGCAGTATAAATTATTTGATTTTTAGTACAAGGACTTGTTATGCTGCTCTGTAAAAAGTGGAAATATGCTTTAAACATTGACGATAATGTACGCAAGCAACACAAAAATGCTGCTTAAAAAATCATTAGTAAAATCAATAAAAATGACACCAGGCCGGTAAAACCATTTAAAGGTTTTGGACAGATTTTTAGTAATTTTAAGAAAACTACATCAAGTAATAGCTTGGGGAAGGTTGTGAAAATTTTACATGCAACGGCTGATAAGTTCAAAAAGTTATCAATTAATTGTCTCTTAGGGCAAGACAAAATTTTCGGAAAACTCTTATTTTATCTGGATAATTTTCGAAGCATATTTTTTAAATCAACACAATCAGAGGTGAATGCATTTATTAGTGCTATTGAAATATACAAATACTGTACGCAAAAGATGTATAAAAGTGTGTAAAAAAAGTACCAATGTTTTAAGATGGGTTTGCAGGCAATTGATCTCAGGGTGTAAAAGCGACAATCAGCAGTTGCCAAGAAGCAATCGTTTTACTGAAATTAAACTTTGGACTTATTGAGCCGCTTAAAAGCCTGGGTTTGCTTGTGCGATTGATGCATGCGTCTGACGCATGTCTGACGTAAGCAGCGGCTGCTGCGTCCATCGCAGGGACTGATCATATGACATATCATGTTTATGGGTCTACTAGCGTGTCGACGTCTAGCGTCTGAAGTTTGATGCAACGTCGGAACGCAGCCACTGCTATTGAGACCAGTACAGCGGCGAGACGCTAGCGATTTTACTGCAATATTTTTATTTATTTGCCGTCGACATGAATCAAATTGATTTCTACTTAAGCGAAAATAACGTGGGATTTAGATATATCGATGTTTGTACATAGAATGATGAGGTTTTCTGTAGGTAATAGAGTGTTTTCAGTGTATCCAAAAATTCCTACAAACTGAACATTAATCTATGGTAATGGTATGAAAGATTAAATAAGTTTATACTATCTATCTTGCTATTTTGTTAAGTATTTAATAAACAAATTCAGCTAAAATTCAAATTATTCATGAATCTCTAAAATGCAATCCTATTGGTTGTGACGTCTCTGGTCATATAAATCGCGGATTGTTTACGTTCTGTGCACAGTGTTTAGTTGTGTAGCTGTGTTTCATTAATTATTTTGTGGATTTAAATAATTTATAGTTTGTGTTAAACTAAAAAATCGCTTGAGAAGGATTCCTTACAGCGTCAATTATTATATTATTACTAATTACGGAATTTTTAAAAAACGACGAACGCTTTAATTCAGCCAAATTTAAGCGTGTCAAAGCAGCAGCGTAACTAAAAAGCTGTAAATTCATTGTAAGTTACTCTCTCCTTAATATACTAATCTGCCTGTATTGGTTTAAATTAGGTAAATAATATATAGAATTTCACTTATTCAACTTAACCTAACTTATACACATGGCTGCTTTAAAAGTAAAATGAACTCTTAAATTTGCATTTTGGGCATCACCAGAACAATATGGTGATATCGGATATGTGGAATTGAAACGCGAGGTTTCTTTGTGCACTGTACAAGGTAGAATTTGCCCACAACACAGAGTACGATAGAAGGCATATTTTATCTGCCTCATCATTAGCTTTTTGTTGTACTTTCATTAAAATGTTCCCCGCAGTAAAAAAACATTGATTTTGATTTAGGAACATCACGTCTAGCTACTTTGAACCATAAAACTTTACGTGCATAATCATCAGGAACGGTTAGAACGAGTTTGTTTGGAGCACTTATTGAGGTATTCTTGCATCCTGGCACAAAACACCACTTATTTTGTGATCCATACATGTCACTATTTTCCATTATGAAAGATAATAATAATAATCAATAAAACAATGATAATCACAATAACTTAAATAATAAAACAAAGCTGCGAAAACAACAAACACGAGACACTTTGTTGATATGACCTGCTACGTCACAGTCGGAATAGGCAACCGACGATACGGATTCGGCGTTTTTGGCGGAAAATATCTGATTTGAATTTAAATTCGCTTTAAAATTATTATGGATACTTTTTTTGCAAAAAAATTATATCAGTGYAATGTTTGCCATAACTACTTTCTATATATCAACATTAAAAAAAAGTGAAAACACCCTATTAATAACGGAATTAGGGTACTATATCTTCTTCTTCTAAAGAGCCAATGATGCTAATTAATCAACTACTCAAATTTCCCTTTGCACTGTGCTCGGGCTGCCGACTTTTCTCAACTTTTAGACGCACAATGACCCTATACAAAACACAAAAACCGATAGTGTCTTTTCACTTTTTACCTTGTGATGCTGCACAGTCCTGCCACTCTGCCTTCACTATTTGTTTCTTTTTTTTTGCGTTCACCAGCATAATAATGGAATAATTCTTCCAACGAACTCTATACTCTGAACATATTATACATTTTACTATGCAAATATCACCTCGTTCCAGCTGCTTATACCAGATCTAGATTAGGAAAATAAGCTAAATATTTCAGATTTGGAAATCTGGTAATTCATGCATTTCCCAAGAAATTGTAAAAAGCCAGGACTTTAAATTTTTATTTAGAAACCCAAACATCTAAAGCGTGTCCCATGCATCCGTTTGTACGATGATACGAAAGTATTTCTATTGGTTGTAGACCTGTCAATTCGTCCGTCGTCGTCGAACGGAGAACGAATTGACAGATCTCCAACCAATAGAAACACTTTCGTATTATCGTACAAACGGATGCGTGAAACACGGGCTTAAAGCAGAAATCCCGCTTTTCTTTTGGATTTTATTCCACGTTGCTCAACGGATGTAAACAATTTACTTGTATTAAAAATCTCAGCGACCATCAACGAATCTACCAGTAGGAAGTTATCTGATTGTGCTTTTAAAAACCTTCATTAGTCATTTTCCACAATCATCCACAAAACAAATAAAATAAACTTATAAAACAACTCCACAAAACACAAGCCGAGGTAACTGTACAGAAATCCAAACCATTTAAATGAAAACACGGGCTACGTGCAGGTCGACCGTGTACTGTGACGTCAGACCAATCACAGCGTTTTCGCATGACGCCACTTTGAAAGCCCATTAAATGCCAAAATATTTTTTTAGGATTTTGTTGTAGTGCATTTATATGCGACAAAGGTTGAATTCTAGTAGGTTTTTAGTCAAAAATGAATTTCATGCAGACACGAATAGTGCCGTCTTCCAAAAGGCGACGGGGCCTAAAATTTCCACCATGTCTGCCAGTTAAAAAACATAAAACGATTGACAATTAATTTATTATAAAAGAACGAACATTATTGCTTACTAAGACATTTGCAGTTAATGTCTAAAACTGTTAAATAGCAAGAACACAAATAATT